GAAATTCAGTACTTATAAGCTTATACAGCGATAGAAAATAGGAACACTTTTATCTTGAAAGTTCAGTAGATATTTTAAAGCAGGTTTAATCTTAAAAGTTGGTAATTTTCATTTGGAGTGAAATGAATTGTTTAAAAAATAAGATTTTTTAAATTCTATGTGGATTTCTGACTATCTTGATAATATTCTAACAAAAAGTATTATTAAAAAAGCCACCGAATTAACATAAAACGTGATAAAATAATTTAAACGAAATAAATTTGATAAATAGTATGGAAGACTTAGCGGCCGCCTATCTACATATATTCATGTGTTTGTTGTTACTTGAATAAACATGAATATTCTTGGGTTTACTAGGGCTGGATCCTGTGTCAATTCCACTGTATAATATGTCAGCCTGATGACTTTCAGATAAAGGATCGCTTACTGATCACGTGCATTCTCTCTCTGCTCAAAAGACTTTAAACAACTCAGCATGCTCTCTGTGTGATGTATAAGTATAGGTGTCTCTGTGGGTTCCAGTTTCTGGTTAATCGTACATGGAAGTTATAAAGTCAAGCCCCAATTCTTCTCCATTTGGCAAATTGAGAAGTGGTGGTGAAAGTCTCTTAATTAAGGAACCAGGAAATAACACGTCTTCTTTAGTAGGACAGGGCAAGCCCAGGCCACCTGACTCTCCATGTAACCAGCACACATGCCCTCTTGCTTTTAAAAGTTATTACATTTAATTATACTTTTTCTAAAGACACCGAAAACGAAAATGGGTTTCAACACATAGAGAAAGTGGACAGTGACACTCCCCAACAACATCGTAATGTAACTATTAACATGACTGTTTTTAAGCCTTTTTTGAAGAAAACAACAACAAACAAGGTTAAGGAATTTTGTTACAAACATATTCTTGACCTATGGGAGAGTTCTATTCATTACCAAACGTTTTACTTAACATTTTTAGTCAGTCATCATTGATTGACTAGTTAAAAGAGAAGAGGAATTTCATTAAGATCAAGCTTTAAAAAAGACCTATATTTGACAATTGTATACAACTGGCATAGATATTAGAGCATAAGACAGTCAAACAATTGTTCTAATGACAGTTCAATACATGCTTATGCAGTGAATTCATAAAATGCGTTTTCTACCAGTTTCTAGCTCTTATGAACAATACAAACGTTCTGTTGTACAAATTCATCTCAGTATATTTCACACTATAGGCGAGTAGCGAAAAACGTAGCACTACAAATTTACCTCAATATACGTCACAATATTGTTGCGTAGTACAAAAATCTAGTATTAAAGTTCACCTCAGTATGCGTCACAATACTGTTAAACAGTGCAAAAATCTGGTACTACAAGTTCACCTCGGTATACGTCACAATACTGTTAAACAGTGTAAAAATCTAGTACTACAAGTTCACCTCAGTATGTGTCACAATACTGTTAAACAGTGTAAAAATCTAGTATTACAAGTTCACCTCAGTATGTGTCACAATACTGTTAAACAGTGTAAAAATCTAGTACTACAAGTTCACCTCAGTATACGTCACAATACTGTTAAACAGTGTAAAAATCTAGTACTACAAGTTCACCTTGATATATATCACACTGTTGTTGGATAGTGTAAATTTACTGTAGTACATATTCACCACAGCATACATCACACTGTTGTTGGGTGATATGAAAATCTAGCAGTACAAGTTCACCTCAATATAGGCTATACTATTATTGTAAAACAATCTTTTATATTCACAGGTATTATTTTTAATGCCTTCCACTTATTGAAATATCGGTCGATACCTTGAGTTTTCTGAATATTTAATTTTGTAAACTTATCTAAGCCTCAGGGGTGGGTTTAGGGAAACCCTCCTCTAACTTGTGTCTGAGCCTCTTCTATAAAAAACTCTTTAAAACTGTAATCAGTTTTTAGTTTCATGAGTAACGTACTCTACATGTTATGACTTAAGAACACCGTGAGTTGTACGTTTCGTAAACTTACCTGAAAAAGGATGGGTACTTTTAATTTCCAAGAGTACTCCTGTCCGACATTTGACACCAGCTTACATAAGTCTGATTGTTAGCAGGACATGGCGTCATCAATGGACAAACTTGTGGTCACTATTCTAGTCTACAAGTTCATTAGACAAAAATCTCCTTTACGACGCCGAACTGTTTCGCAAACAGCATTTGCTGTGTAAGTAATCGACAACAAATGATACTGCATACGAAGAGCGTTCACGATCAGCCCAGAAATCGTTGAATTAAGGCTACAAAATCGTAGTAACTTTTTTGGATTCTATTAATTTTTCAATCGTTCTGGTATCTTGTTTAAGTCATTTTAATAAGAAAATAATGTAGTACAATGTATCTTTTTTTTTTACTAGGTAAACCATTTCATTTTTCGGTTTAATAAATTCAATACGTAAGTCAGCTCACCAGTTCTCTCTATGTTACAAGGTTCAACACGTAAGTCAACTCACCAGGTTTCTCTATGTTAATAGGTTCAACACATAAGTCAGCTCATCAGTTTTCTCTATGTTAATAAATTCAACATGTAAGTCAACTCACCAGGTTTCTCCATGTTACTAGGTCCAACACGTAAGTCAACTCATGAAGTTATTCTACATTAGTAAGTCCAACATGTAAGTCAACTCATTAAGTTTCTCTACGTTACTAGGTTCAACATGTAAGTTAATTTACAAAGTGTGTGGTCTCTCACACGCAATAGGTTAAATACGTAAGTCAGCTCATCAGATTTTTTTATGTTACTAGGTTCAACACGTAAGTCAACTCATCAGGTTTCTTTATGTTAATAGGTTCAACACATAAGCCAGCTTATCAGGTTTCTCTATGTTGATAGGTTCAATACGTAAGTCAGTTCACCAGGTTTCTCTATGTTAATAAGCTCAACATGTAAGTCAACTCACCAGGTTTCTCCATGTTACTAGGTCCAACACGTAAGTTAATTTACAAAGTTTATGGTCTCTCACACGCAATTTTCATCTTGAGTATGTTTGAGACTGGTTTAAAAATCTTCAATATGAAACAGGAGTCTAATTAAGAAATGTTTAGTATATAACACAATCAAAACGAATCAAGTTTAATCTTGTTTAACATCTTAAGAACTGAAGGAAACAAAGACGAGATTCAGAAGTCTGTACATTACTAAATATCAAACTAAAACAGTGTTTCTCAACTAGGTGAATGGTTCACTCAGGGGTTAATGAGATCAAAATCAGGGTGAATAAGAATGATGGGATGAACGAGTATTATTCAAGAGTAAAAAAAAATATTAGTTATTATTATTATATATTGTAGTTTGATAAATACATTTATTTAATTTTTTGTTTATTTTAGAGATACAAGTTAAAGTGGTCTGATAAATATTTTGTTAAAATTTAGTGATTGTTGAAGACTGTTTACGTTATAAAGGCACAACATTTACTTCACTAAATGGAACATCACGTGCTTTTTGTAATTAATTTATCTTGTTTTGAAGAAAACATATTGCACATTTTTGATTAATTGAGAAATACCATGCTAGCATTTCAAATAATTAGATTAAAAAACCAACAAACGAACGAACAAATGGCAATTGACGACTGGAAGATATTGTATGGCTTTCTTTCAAGCAACTGTTTTTGAGTTTTCTTGAAATTACTACAACTAATGTATTATTAATAGAGAAAACAATAGTAAAATAACTATAACTAATGTATTATTAATGGTATTATAGTAGTAGTATTATATTAGTGTAGATGTTTGTCAACTGTATAATAATAATGTTAGTATCAGATTAGTGTAGATGTTT